TGAAAACTGTGAAAGCAAACGAAATTTTTTTAATTAAAAAGAGAATCTATATTTAAACTACTGATAAATACAATAAAAAAGTTTAAAATTTTTTTGTTTTTTTAAACAATCCTTTTTAAATCAAGAAAATTTTTTGAAAACCTTTTTGAATTTGAATTCAAAAAACTTTCTTGAATCACTTTTTTGAATTCTACTTGTAAACTTTTTCGAATCACTTTTTTGAATCACTCTTAACTTTTTTGAATCACTTTTTTTAAATTTCTCTTAAAATCTCATATAAGCTTCTCTTACTTGATACTTGACAACACTCTTGATACGAATGAAAGATTGAGTGTTGGTACGTTGTTTGGTCGCCCGATACCGCTTTGACGATTTCCTAAGATGGCATCGTTGCACCCTTCCTCTAGACGGAATGCGGCCTCAAAGGGGTTTAGGCCTAGTTGCACTGATCTGTAGCTTCACCAAGTGACTGGTATTTTCCAGATTTCCAAAATCCCTTGTACCTATATATTATATTATATTTTTTGTTTTGACAATAAATAAATACAGGGATTTATGTTCATCTGGAAAGCGCCATCAAATCAAGTCATTTGCTGCGATTGACGCTACTTACTATACATTTTCCACAATTGTAGAACTAGGTACCGTTGACGGCTGGAACACTCGTTGATGACAGTGTCGGATTTGATGTGGTGAATAGTGCTCATATCTGCTACAATAAGATATTATTCAGTAAACGCATAGGCTGTGTTTCATTGGTCCTACCTGAATGAATGTTGCGCTTTGCTGACCATCTCATCAGGGTTGATAAGCGACCAAGGTCCGTGCTAATTCGCTGCAGTTTTGGAATAGTGCCATCGTTTTGGATTGCTGGCGATTAGGTAGGTACTGCTACTGCAGTAGCAAGGACCTTCACACAGCTTACGCCAGCATTACGGAAAACCTTAAAAAATCGAAAAGTGGTGTTTTCTGCATAATTTAAAGCTTAATTCTAATAAAACAACAATTATCAATTTTTCATTACACCAACCAGACGATGGTGCATCCACTAGTGTCCGCTCTACTTACTTTTTGGGGTGTCTACTGGATCACCGCCTTAATTTTCATCTACATTGTGAAAACATCTG